AGGAGGACGAGGAGGAGGAGGAGGAGGACCCGGCCCCCGTGCAGGCCATCGCCACGCTGGGTGGCGGCCGCGAGCTCGCCCAGCAGGCCCTCCCGGCCGCCCACCCTGGGGCGGAGGGGTGGGAGGCTGGGCGGGGAGAGCCGCGACTGCCGCCTCTGGCTCCCCCTCCTGCTGCTGCGGCCCGTGTGCTCCGACTGCCGCGAGCTCATCACAGCAGGGCGGCGAGATCCGTACATCTCCACCGCCGCTGGCCCGGCGCCTCCTGGGCCCAGAAGCGGTGCGTGTCTGTCCCTGGCCAAGCCAGGGGGGTGCGCATGCACAGCTCCTGAGCCAGGGGTGGTCCTGGCCAGCGGCGGTGGATGTGTATACACACATACATCTATATATCATATGTACATATGTGTATATATATGTGTATAGGCATGCATATATGTATATATATATGCATGTATGTATATGTTTATGTATATGTATATGTATATGTATATGTATATGTATATGTATATGAATATGAATATGAATATGTATATATATATATACATATATACATATATACATATATACACATGTCTCTAGATATCGTCGCTCACACAGGTGGGCCCCCGCCCGCCAGAACCGCTGGCCGAAGTCAGCTTGGCCGAGCTTGCGCAGCTTGGCCGAGACCAGCCAGCCGAGTTCATCCTGGCCGAGTTCGGCCAGGCCCGCTGCTGCTGCTGCTGCTCCTGGGCACCGATGTCGGCGAGCTCGTCACTGGTGAGGTGTGCTAGCAACTCAATGGGGGCCCTGTCTGCCCTTGCCTTTCTGTCGTCGGGCGTACGCCAGCGTTTGGTCATTGCTTGGCGAAGAACACAGGCTTCGTGCAGATTGGCATCGATCGAGCCTCGATTCGCTACGAGCCGCGTCGATGCGCGGCGCATTGCACCGGCTCGCAAGGGCCGGCAGGATGGCACGGGAGGCTCCCGTGCGCTGCCACGGGAGGCTGGCCCTCGGCCGCCCGCCGCCGCGGCGTGCGGGCTCCGAGGATGGAAGCTCTCCCCGCCCTCTGCGGCCGCCTCCTGCCGCTGCGCTCCTCGCCGCATGCGGCCCCCCTTTGCGCGCAGACTGCGCGCGCGGCGGGGGAGCGGGCCGCCAGCGAGGTGCCATGCTTCGGGCATGGGTGGGGCCCTCGGGGGCTCCGCGCCGGAGGCGGTCCTGGCTCCCAGGCTGGCTGGCAGGCTCGGCGCGCGCACTCCGCAGTGGCATGCTCGGGCTGCCGTGTCCCCGCACGCGGCCCAGAAACGACGAACATGTCCATATCCATGCCCTCGCCCTCCCGTGGATGCGCGATCGCTTGGATACGAGACCGCGTGGATTCGCTCCGCGCGGGGGACCCGCGCAAGGCCGCCTCGCATCCAGGGAGTCGCGGCTGAGGTGATGGGCCTGTTTTCCGCCACCACCAGCATCAGTTTGAGGGGGGAAGGAGGAGGATGAGGAGGAGGAGGATGAGGAGGAGGAGGAGGAGGAGGAGGACGAGGAGGAGGAGGAGGAGGAGGAGGAGGAGGAGGAGGACCCCCTCCCTCCTCAACATTCTGGTGGTGGTGGTGGTGAACAACAAGCCCATCATGAGGAGCCCGTCCTGCCAGGCCGCAGATGCGGGTGTGTTTCCCGTCCACGAGATGCCCCCCCTGCCCTGACCTGCCAGGAGGGCTAAACATAGCACCAGGGCATGGACGTCCTCATTCCTGTCGAGGTTTGAGGCAGTCCAGATAGGTTTATAGGTCTGGAGTGCTAATTTTTAGCACTCTGGAAGGTCGGGGTGGGAGGCCCCAGGGGAGGGGGGAGGGGGAGGGGGGGCCCGGTGGAGGGCCTGGGGGACCGCGAGGGGCGGCCACGATGCTCCACCGGCCTCGGGGGCCCGGCATCCCTCACGGGGGGCCTCGAGGAACCCAGACCCCCCAGACGCCAGGACCTTTTTTTTGTGACTTGACTGACCCCCAGGAGCCTGGACCCCTTTCCGTGGACCGGCGTTCCGACCCGAGCCGTTCTCTGACCCCCAGGAGCCTGGACCCCTTGTTTTGTGACTTGTTTGTGACCCCCAGGTTCTTTAGACCCGCCTTTCTTTTGTGACCTGACCCCCTAGGAGCCTGGACCCCTTCCCGGGGACCGGCCTTCCATCCCGAGCCGTTCTCGTTCTCTGACGCTCCCGAGCCCCCTGGCGAGGGCCCCCGGCTAGGCCCAGAGCAGCGCACAAGATCCCCCCGCGTCACGATTGTTATGCTTCGCGACGCGGGGGGAGGGGGGGTTGCTAGGAAGAGTGTGCTCCAGAACCCTTGGAGACGAGATGCTAAGGGACCAGCTGGCCCTCCTCCTCCTCCTCCTCCTCCTCCTCCTCCTCTCCTCCTCCTCCTCCTCCTCCTCCTCCTCCTCCTCCTCCTCCCCGACTGGCGGCCACAGGTCGGCAACATGATGGGCGGGGCCCCGCCCGCCGGCAGCAACGTCTGGATCCTGCCCGGTGGCGGCGGCCGCTGCCTCGGGCAGCCCGGGGGCCATCGGGTCGACGGCAGCGCCGACGCCGCCGACGACGCCAACGGCGACGCCGACGTCGCCGACGCCGCCAGCGACGACGACGGTGAGGGCGACGACGAAGAAGACTGAGATGGGGAGGAGGAGGAGGAGGAGGCGGAGGAGGAGGAGGAGGAGCAGGAGGAGGAGGAGGAGGAGGAGGATCTAATAGAAACAGAAGAAGGTGATGGCCTGGGCTTGCGCTGAATGTCTTCGGTCGAGTGCCAGGAGGAGGACGGCGCCGGTCAGGAGGAGGACCGATGGAGGTGGGGCGGGAGGGACGGGGGACGTGTCGGACCGGGGCTGGCAGGGATGGTGATGGGAGGGGGGAGGATCAGGATGGGAAAAAGCACGCAGACACAATTAATCGTCGATTCCCCAGAAAATATAGGAAAATATGGGAAGTGGGGGGGGAAGACAAAAACCAAGAAAGTATGGGAAAATCTGGGGAATCCTTTTATTAGTGTGTATTTATTTGTGTGTCCCAGGGCCCCTTCAGAGGAGGGGAAAACGGTCTGGAAGAACTATGGATTCTCGAACGTCGGCGCAGCTGTTCTTGGGACGGCGCCCCCTGCCCATGCTCAGTCGCGCCGCCGCCCCGAAGGAGCTGCCAGAGCAACATATCTCCAGCCTCGGAGACAGCCGGCGCCCCCCCGCGAAGGCCATGCGAGGCTCACCGGAGCAGCAGATTCGACCGAGGCTGGCCACTGGTGCCCGCACCGCGACATTGACCTCTGCCACTACAGTCAACTCGCCTAGTAAGGACGCGCGCCTTCATCCACTTGCGTCCTTGCCTCTGTGGCCCGTCCTTTGCCGTTTTCACTGGTCGCCGCCGCCCAAAAAATCCCAACTTCAGCCTCCAAGGGTCTTGCGTCCTTACCACGCGTCCTTAGTATACGTTTTGACTGTACCTTGACTGCCTCGATGCGCCCATTGTGAAACGCAACACGTGCTGCGCACGAAACGTCCATATGTCAATACGTTCCGTGCTGGCTCGACGTGTTGGTCCGTCCACGCTTTCGCGAGCGTATCGCGTCAGACCTACGTGTTCAGTCTGCGTGCTGAGTCCCGTATCCGTACTCGGCGGCGAGCGAGGAGGGGAAGCGAGAAGGAGACGGCCTTCTCAGAAGGCTCGGAGGTCCCCCTGGTTCTCGTGAGAAGTCGTCTGGGCCTCCCCCGGGGACGCAGACAGTTTCCCGGAGGGCGCGAGGGTCTCCGAGAAGTCCCGCCGCCCTCTGAGAAGGCCCTCCCCTTCTCGCTGCCACCTCTCGCTCGCCGCCGAGTTCCATGCCCATGCTCCACGTGTTGCGTGTGGCGTATCGGGGCGGCCAAGGCCACTGCGGCTCGGGCCGCGCTCTCGGCGACCACGGGTTCGGCGAACCGAGCAGCGCGGTGCGGGGTGGCCGCTCACACGCAAGCAGCGGTCGACAGCCGTCCAAGTGTCGTCGCCCGCGAGGCTCCAGCGGCGTGTTCGCCCCCGAGCTCCACACAGGGAAGGTTGCGTTGCATCCTCGGGGGACCCCGCCTGTCCTAAACATTGGTGTCGTCTCTTGTGCCCAGCGCGGGCTCGATGCGGACTCGACGCGGATCTGGCGTGGATTCGACGCGGATTCGACGAGGCCGACACGGATTCGACACGGATTCGACGTGGATAGGGCCGTGGCGGGACACACAAGGTCCCCCAAATATGCAACATAAGTCTTGGCGGCGCATTCACCCCCGAGCTCCACACAGGGAAGTCAAAGGCTCCGGCCCCCTCATTTGATCATTCAGGTTGAGCTGCGGCACCCACCGTGTCATGTTCGTTGTTCCCTGCTTGCCACATCGTCGGTGTTAGCAAGCACCTTGTCACCCTCGTGGTTTTCTGTTGATGGCAGAACGCGACGTCGATGCTCACTTCTATGGACGGAAGCTCGCTGCTGTCGGCTTGCTGGACGTCTATGAGCAGGGTTTCGTTGTTGTCGGCCTGATGGTCGAACGTTGGACTCGCCATCGAGTAGTGGAACAAAAAGTGACATAAACATAAAAACTCGGAGGTCCGCGCGGATTTCTCGGATCAGCGTTGGGGCCCCCCAGTGGCGCCTCCGGCGCCGCCCCTGGCGCGCTCCGCGCGCCAGTATTCCATTCCGTATCTGGTCGTTCTCCTCGATGAGCATCGTTCTTCTCCTCGTTGTAGTGGTCGTCCATGTTCCCCATGGCTTGTCGTCGTCTCTGCACTCCGCTGTATGTGTACCCGTCGGTGTTGCTATCATTACTGCTGCCACGATGCCTTTGTCGATGTTGTCTCTCCACTTGCTGACCATCTCCTCATTCAGCTGGTTGCAAGCCATGCCTATCATGCTGCAGTCGTCCTCGGTGTTCACTGCCTTGCTGATCTCCTGCTCCATGGCGTCCATGTAGTCTCCTTTTCTTCTTCTCGCCGATGTGGCGTAGAGCACGTACTGCTGGTTCTGGTTCGCCATGTCGGGGATCTCCGTAGTTCTCTCCATCCATTCTCCTCTTGGTTGAATTTGAGGTGCCAGTATGTCGTCACTCTCTTGGCTTGTTTCAGTTCCGTCCACTTCTTCTCTCTGATCGTCGCTGTGCTCTGCCCTGTCCACTTTAGTACATGGTACCAATGCTTTCTCAGGTCTATGTCCTCGTTGTTTCATTATTCTTGTCTCTTCCATATCCCTGTCATACATCTCCCAAGCCTCTTCATACTGCATGGGCTGCTGATTTTTTTTGTACTAGCTGAGACATCCCCTGCATCTGTGCCGCAAATGTATTATCAATATCGGCCTTGTTTGAAAATCCTTTCTGCACGACTGGCAAATTGAGCTGGTGGCGTATCTTTGCGCTGTGTCTATTGGCATATGTTTCTTTCTGTGTCGTTTCCACGCCCCAATATCTGCTGTTGTGAAACCACAATCGTAACATATATATAATGTACATCATGTTCCAACTCTTTCCATGGTTTGACTGCCATTTGCTTTAATAGTATCTGCCAGTTTCTTTTCCATTTGTCGTCGTTTGCCTCGTCCGCGTCTTTGTCCATCTGCTTTTTCCATGCTTCTCTGCATCTTCTGTCATACTCTTTGCCCTCGTTTTTGATCATTCGTATCCATTATTTGTTTCCTTTCCTTTGTTCCGTGTCCGTGTCAGTAAGATCTGCCAGCCATATTAGGTCCTCCTCTATCATGGACGTCCAGGGTCTCGTTCTCGTAATAGTATCTAACTCGTCGAGCCCACGTCTTAAAATCGATGGGCCGCTGGTAATGATTGCCCTCAAGAAACGTAGCCGCCTGTATCTGAGTAATGTTGCCAGATTCCCAGTCTTTGCCTTGGCGTACAGCTCCTTGTCTGTTATCGGCTCCGTCGTGCGTGCTTCTTTCGGTCTGGTCTTTTGTCCTAAAGCTTGTCTAATACCTTTTCCATATGCTGTCTCTGCGATTTGTTGGACCATCTTGGGCATCGGCGGCCATGTTTCGCTTTGCCATAATAACTTGCTGTTCGCATAGCTCTTCGTATACTTTAGTTTGTCCTTTGCCGTGATCTTTGGGTTCGTACATATCGTTTTCAAAGTCTTCATCTCCTGCTTGTGGCATATGGCGCGCTTCTGTATCTCTGGTTGCCATGTGTTGTCCGCAGTTAGCTCCACCCCAAACTGTTTGTACGCTGCCACCACTGTCACTGACTCGTTTATGCTCTCGATGTCAACCTTTACTCCTTCTTTTTTTGAAGTTCCGCTTCGCCTCCATCAAGTTTGGCCCTGCCAGGTGTAATGTCGCCGCCGTTTTCCCTGGTTTGTAGTTGAGCTCGAAGCCGTACTTTACCATTGTAATATGAATTGGGGGGAATACCGTCTGTATGTGTTCTTCTATCTTTTGGTTATCTGCAACCACAGTAGGTATTGCCGTGTCGCCGACGTAGCTGACATCCGTGATCTCTGTGGTCGTGTCTTCCTCGTTTGTGTATGTACGGTCTACTTCACATCCGACGTTATGCAGTACCCCCATTTCCCTCATGTGCTCATTGATCTCATCCAGCGGCTTCCTATATATGACGTTGAAGAAGAAATCGGCAATTGAATTGCCTGCCCTCGCGCCTCGCGTTGCCACCGCCGCCAGGTCCGTTGTCGGTGGATGGTACCATGTTACCCTAGCTGACCCTGATAGCATTGCCCATAGCGGTGCTGGTGCGTGTGGCCCTTGTACGGCTGGTGGTGCTGCTAGCGCTATCTCCAGTAGTGGTCGAAATTGTTGTGGTATCGTATTTCTCTGTAGTATTTCCTCGATGTCTTCCTCAGAATGGTCCATTGCAACCCCCATCGACCGAATCATCATGTAGAAAGCGTTCTTTCAATCCACATATATCATGAGTGTTGACTTGCCTTTCTTTGCAATAAGAAGAACAGCTGTCCTGATGAGATGTCCAGCCATTGGCGCTCCCATTCCCCTTCTTCCTCCAACTTGCGTGTCTCTGATCATGTGGTGTAGTATTTTTCCCAGCGCCGACCTCAGCCATTTGTGACACTGTTTCCCCATAACATTGTTCAAACATGTAATTCTGAAGTGTTCCCATTTCCAATTTGAAGGTCCTGACTTTGGTATCCCACACAATGTAGCCTCCTTGAATGCAATGGGTTCTTGTAGATATAGCGCCGTTTTGAGGTATACTGGGTACCACCATCTTGCTGAAGACTTCGCTGTGGCTCTTAGCACGTCGTCCAATATTTTATCTGGTGCAGCCGCCCGTCTTCGTTTGGCTGTCTTGTAGCTCCGCTGTATCTCATTTCTGGTGGGGACGGTCTCAATGTCCTGCATGAAGGTCTCCGCGTAGTCGTTCTTTCTTTTATTGTATAGCTCCTCCACCGCCGTTTTGCTCATGATGTCCTCGTCCTCAGCTTTCGCAAAGTGCCTCAGCATTGCCTCATCCGCTTTTTCTTGCGTTTGAGCTGGTTTTCCACTGACATTTTCT